GAGAGTAATTCTTACCGGGTGGCAAATGTGCAAAGCTGGGGAAATGCTGTTTGTAAGCACATTTGGGGAATGAATCACCACCGTTCATAGCTAATTCCACCTGGGTTCTGCCAGAAAGCCGGCAGAGGAAAGCATCGCACGGCAGCACGCAAGGCAACGCCAGCCGGGGAGCCCAGGGGAGCAGCACGGCCACGGGGCGGGTGCTGAGCCCCAGCCGAAGCGGTACCTGCCTCAGCCCCTCGCAGACCTGCTCCTAGCAAAGCGTTTCTAAAAATGGGTAAATAAATCCACCGCTTAGGAGGCAATGGGCCGCGGGCACCGAGGAAGGCTGGGTGCAGCGGCTGGAGCACCCCCGGCCCGCGTCGATACTTGATATTTAAGGGTTATTAAGCAGCCGGGGCGATGGATTAAAGCTCCGGCTGCGGTGCTCTGCGTCTCACCCAGCAGCCACCCTTCGGGGCCGCACGCCGGCCCCCGGCTACGAGAGGGGTTTTGGGGTTCTCTGAGGCAGCGGAGAGCACTGCTCCTGCCTGGGCCTGAGGGTTTTTCCCTGCAAGGAAGGAGGAGAGAAGAAAAAAAAAAAAAAAAACAAAAAAAACCCCAAAGCAGTCGATGCTTAAGCTCAGCAAGACTAAAATGCTGCTGGGTAATGAAAAGAGGCGTGACACCTGACAAATGGGATTATGGAGATCCCCTCTGGAAAAGCATCCCCAGCACAGCAAGTCGATTCCTAATTACCGGCGTTATTTCGCCCAGCACCTTCGCCCAGGCAGGGCAGAGATGCAGTAAAAGCAAACGCGGGCACTTCGTGTCCTCTTCTCCATGCCAGGGGCACAGGGGACACCCAGCGATGGCGGGGACCCCACCACGGATGCGGTCGGGGCAGCGCTAGCACCCCCAACCCCCCCGGAGCCCCAGCGCATGGCCCCGAGGCTGGGCATCACTCAGACCTATTCAGCTTCACAGAGGGCTCATTTCTGGGTGGCAGGCAGGATTAACCCCCAGGACATGCAGCTGGAGGGAGCGATGGATCCATCCGTGTTCCCAAAACAAGGCCAAACACCCTTTAGTGAGCCACGGCTTCGCTCAGGCTCAGGACTGGGCAAGCAGCAGCAGCTTCGCTCCCCAGAATGAGATGTTGGTAATGATCCCTTCTGGACCAGGGGGAAAAAAAATAACATAACATAATAAAAATAAAAAGAAAAAAATTCAATGAGACTCTAACTTCTGGGTCCAGAACACAGCGGCACGCCGAGCGGCGGTGGCACGCCGAGCGGCTCCCTCCCCGGCTTACAGGTTCCTCCTGGCCAAGGACCAACGCCAGCTCACAAAGATCCCCCGCAGGCTCCCTTTCAGGAGAAACACTGCAGTGCAGTAGCTGCTGGCCAGGAAAGCAGCCAAGCGATTGCCTTCCCCCGCGGGCACCGGTGAGGCTCGGGGGCCCTCCCGTCCCACCAGTGTGGGGGTGCCGGTGCCACCCCCCACCTTACCCGATGCGTTCTTGCTCCATCTCCTCCATCTTCTCGGCCCGGGCAATGACACGGTTGATGATCTCCTTCTCCTCGTCCGTCAGCTCCTCGCTCTTGCGCTGCCGGTCGGGCTGGCCACCCCGCGCTGCCCAGCCAGTGGGGAGCCTGCGGGGAGAGGGGGGGCCAGGGCTGTGGCCATGGATCACGCCCGTGTAGTAGCACGCGTCCGTGGGCAATAGCCAGGCACTGACTCCCAAGCCCAGGGAAGAAGGGGTACGAGACATTCCCAAGCCCAATTCCAGCACGGAGCCTGCAAATGGCCCCCACCCACCAGGTGGAAGCTGTTATTTCCATTTTGGGGAGGGGGGGCGGGGTGCCATATGGAAACACTTGTTTCATATGGAGAAAACCAATTTCCTTTTCAAACATATTCTCCTTATTTCCATGTTAAGCATCAAGCGACATAGCTCATTTTGTACCCTCCTCCCTGCCAGGTAACACTGGGTTTGCCAGCGAGTTGCGGTATGGGGGCAATGGCCGCAGGAATGGGCCTTTTTTTTTTGGGGGGGGGGGTACGTTTCATCAAACGCAGGAGTTTTTCCTCACCCAGCATCATTTCCAAAGCTCCTTTGGCACAGCAAGCCCAGCCTGGGCGCCAGGCAGCTTTAACCTGGTGGCACGGCTGCCGCTCAGCCTTGCAAACGAGCAGGAGACAGAGGGGCCAACGCTAACGAAGGGTGGAAAAGGCAAACGTCCCTCACCTTTCTGCTCATCTAAAGACCTTTCCGGGGTCTTTTCCCCCCTGGGCTGAGCACACCTGCATGGTCTTAAACCTTAAAATTCATTAAAACCCTGCATGACGCTTCCCAAAATTAATTTCTTGCCTCCAGGGCAAGGTTTTTCCTCTTCTCTCAAGACCGTAGAGTAGCAGGCAAAGAGCAATAGGCAAAAAAAAAAAGCAAGTGAGAAAATTACTGCTCTTTCTCGCCGCTGGGAGGCACAGGGAAAAAAAGGAACATGGATTAGGTGAGATGGGCAATGGTCCCCAACAGCACATCCCTCTCCATGGACCCCCACCGCTCCTCCAAAGCGGCACGGAGCAGCGAGCTCCGAACACGAGCTTTGCCCAACTCCTGCATCGTCCGGGCACCCAAAACCAGCGCCCAGCCATGGGTGCTGCCACCACCCAGCCAGCTGGGACGGAGACCTCCCGTGCGGTGGGACGCAGCATCGCCCTGCACGCAGCTGTGGTGGAGGGCACCAGGACAGACGGACAGGGCTCCTCATCAGCACAGGCGTGCGTGCACACCCATGGGTCTGTCCCCACCACCCTTTCTCAGGGGGTTTAGGAGGCAACGTGGCAAAACGTCCCCACCCAACCAGCACAAACCCAATTCCCAATGTCCCCAGAGGAATAACCGGGGCGGCTGCACCCGTATCACCTCCCATCACCTCCCACCCCCAGGGACTCCCCTCCCTCCTGCACCAGCAGCCCCCTCCTCTCACCCGGCCCGGAGAGACATGGTCCTGTCGCCGGGGCACATCCACCGGTCAGCGCTGCCGCCCACCACCGCGTCGGTCATCGCTGGCTGGTGAGAGGACCTGGGGACACGCGGAGTGAGTTTGGGCACGCCGGGGAGGTCAATCACGTCGCTCCTCTGCCCGTGCTCTCAGATCACAGCAATGCCGACAACGGTAACCCGGGGCTTTCAGCCAGGCTGTAGGAAAAAACCTAAAACAATACAAAAACCCCACAAAATCACCCCAGGCAGGGCTTTATTTCTGGCATTAAGAGGAGTGGGAGCGGGGACAGGAACAGGAACGTCACCTCCGTCGCCGTCTCGATATCACGCCCAAGACACAGGAGCCTCCGACCGCCACCCTCCCAGGAGGGCAATGCAGCCGCGCTCGGTGCGGATGTAATTAATGAGATGCCTGACCTCACGTTAATTATGAGGCTTCAGAGCTAGGAGGGGAGGGGATGTTTCCGTTTCAGAGAAAAATCTACAAACGAGGCAACTCCCCCCCCCAAAACCCAACACATCTCACTGCCCTCCCCCAAACCACGCTCCCTCTGGAACACAACGGCTCCTCCTTTGGTTTTGCTTACTAAAGTTTTTGTGGAAGGAGGAGGTGGAACAGGACCTGACGATGATATTCTGTCAACTCACATCCAGAAAATTCATCAAAAAGAGACCTCTCCAAACTCTTCTCCTTTCGGTAAAACTGGCAGGTTTTTATTAAAACCCAAATGGTTGTAAAATTCAGAGGGCGAGCGCTTATTTATCCCCAATTTCTGGGGTGGTTTCCCCGCTCCACCCACCGCCCCTACTCACTGCACAGGGACGGGGACTGGACGGCAAAGCCTGAGCTGACACCGACCACGGCGTGGGGACGGATCCGTCCATCCCATCGGCCCTCCTGGGGGAAAACCCATGCTTTTACACAGGGCGAACGCCGCAAGGGGGGCAGGACAGGACCCCTCCTCCTGCACAGCCCCTCACCCAGCCCATGGGGTGCGGGGGACGCCGCGACCGGGCCGTGAGCCACTGTCTCTCCCGGGCCTGTCTCGGGATGCTCCCCAAGAGCAGAGGGTGCCGCTCGCGGGTCCATGGGTGGCATCGCCCACTTGTAGAGGGAGAAGCTCAGGTTGAGCCTCCCTTTACGCTCCCAAAGGTGGAAATCAAAGAAAAAGGGCAATCCACCCACGAAGGGCTTGGCTCCGCTGCAAGCAGCACCGGGGAGGACACGAATTGCCCCTTGGGCAGGACCCCCCACCGAGGGGGGACGTTTTGGTGAGCTCAATGCTTTCCCATCCATGGGTTTTTCCCCCTTATCCCATCTCCACAGAGCCGGCACGGGGTATGCGCTGGGATCCCCCCACGGCAGCAGCCTCCCACCTGCATTGCTCGCAGCACCCGCATTGGAATTGCTTGCTCCTGCCTGCAGCAGAACTGAAAAAAAGAAAAAACCCTAAAACCCCAAACCCCTCTGCAAAGCCCAGCGGGCAGGCACTGGGGCCGCTCGCAACCCATGGACCCTTGCTCCTCCCAAACCTGCTGCCCTGGGAAGATGCTGCCGCAGCTCCTCGCTGGCTGGAAGGGACCGCTCAGTCGCCCACGTCCCGCCGGGTCCCAGCACCGATGCCAGCGCCCCAGAGCTGCCACTGGGTCCCAGCAGGACCGGAGCTCAGCCCAAACCCAGCAAACGCTCCTTTGCAGGGCACGAAGCGACTCCAGCTCTTGGCAAAACTCCAGTGGGAGCACTGGGGAGGTTCGTCCCGAGGAGACGCTGGAAAATGGGAGCTTGCAAAACCACCCCACCGAAATCACACACTCTGAGCCCCAAAAAACTGTGCAATATTCCCAGAAAGGGGGGAAAACGGTAATTCCCACCCTCCGCTTTCTGCTCTGCAATACTGCAGGGGTTTCTCCATCAGTCTCGGAAGCAGCAGAGATTTGAGGATCACCTTTGTTTCGCTGATAACTTCCAAAAATACCTATAAAATATGTATTAAAAAAAAGAAAAAAAGTGAAGCGCGTGGGGTAATTAGTGCTCGGCTGGTTTCACGCAGCGGCTATTCCTGTGCCAAACCGGGAGGCTCCGACTGACAAGGTCAGTTAAAGCGGCAAACTGTTCATTGACATCCCCACCGCCACGCGCTGCACTGCAGCAGCAAACTCCTGCCGGGGATTTAGGGTCTTGCCGCGGCCGGGAGGCCGGCAGGGCTGCCCGCAGATTTCACGGGGTGCGCTGGAAGGGCAGCGCCGTGCTGCCAGCACCCATTTTTGGGAAGGCGCAGGCGGATAAGAGACTTGCCCAAGGTCACGCGGAGCAGGAGCAGCCCTGCAAAGAATAGGGGAAAATCCCTGGTTTTTCCGAGCAAAGAGGGCAGCGCCGTCACCGGCACTTCAGCCGGCAGGGTTGGGGGGAAAACTCCTTCCCCCACCTAGAACTTTCTGCTAATAATAGAGAGGCCGCGGGTGTTTTGCTTTGTTGTGGATGGAGAAGAGCCCGGGGACGGCTCCTGGAGGAATACACAAGCCTTTCCCTCTGCCTATAAATAATAGATTTTGAAGATCTACTTTGCATTACTTCCTGCAACCACTCTTGCTTGTCCTAATGCTTGGCTCTGCATTTTTAGCGCAGGGTAAAGAACAAAATAATGGCTTACGGTGGCTTTTCCCCCACCACCTCACTCACAAGAAGCAAAGGGACGTGGCAGTCCAAGTCATGATCGATGGGGTGCAGAAGCATTTGGTTAATGAAATGGAAATATCCTACCCTAGGAGGATGCCAAGACCTTGTGGGGTTTGGCTGTCCCCAGAAGGTCCTGGGATCTGCTCCCCTGGGTCCCTCTTGTCCCCACGCGGTGCCGGCTGCTCTGGGTTCCCCGACTGCAAGCAGAGGTCGGGAGGAGCGAGGCGGCAGCTCCCGCCGGCGCGAACACGGCGCGTCCCGGGGAGAGCCAGGAATAGAAGCGAGGTCTTAATTTCTGGCCTTAAGGAAGGAGCCACATGACTCTAATCACGCCGCTCCATTACTTCTGTATGACGGAGCCCATGAATTTGATCATGCCTTAATAAAAAGGGATTGAACGTCTTCCATGAATCACTCTGCCTCTCTCCGAGCTGCCGGCGCTGTCGCCCGGCACGCAGACACCGCCTGCTCCGAGCCAAGAGGTCCTGATTCACAGGCCCGTCGCCAGTGCCCGAAATCCAGTGGAGGCAGCACTGGCAACCGGCAGGTCGCCCTCACCCTCCAGCAACCCTGGGCAGGCAGTGGGAGCCCCCCAGGGCGAGCCCATCCTGCCCCATGGGCACCAGGGGGGAGCACGGGGCAGCAGGGGCTCCGGGCAGGACCCAAAGCCACTGGAGGCACCCACGCTGCCACCCCCAACTGGGCATCTGCCAAGAGAGACCATTACAGGGCTGCCCAAACACACTGGGTTAGCCAGCTGGAAATAACATACCGAGGGAGAAACGGGAAAATTCCGTATTTGAAAAGACTCCCGGTGCGCTAATCAGGTTTTTCCAGTGAGCTCAACATTTCACACGTGGCGGTGCCTGCAGAGATCGTCTCCACCAGCAAAGACACTGACACAGGCAACCTATTTCTCCAGCCTTCTCAGCTCTGCAATGCAGCTTTCTTAAATATTGAATAAGTCTGTTGCTCTACACCACCTGCCAGTGCCAATGATGAGGTAATTTTTGCATTGACAAAGCCTAATGCGATTAATCTGGTTTGGAAGAGCAGGTTTTCGAGCCCCTCCATTCACTCGGCAGAAAGGCGCTTGCGGACGGAGCATTGGCAGCAGCTTCTTATTCACTGCCAGCAGCCGGACCCCAAACAAATAACCCAAACTGCTGCTCGGATGCCAAGCGAGAGATTATTTCTCTGTGTCATCACCAAACGGGAGGTTTTGAACTCGAACGGATCCAAACACCAAGCCGATGGGGTTTTCACGCCAGCTCCGAGGCCAGCCCAGACACGGGAGCTGATTTATACTCCCCAGCTGGATGGCGGAGCTGGGGGGGGGAAAAATAGGGAACGAGGGCATGATTGCCTGATGGGGCTCCCCAGCCCCTCACCCAGGGAGAAGGGGGGTGTATTTTGGGGTGACAAGGACCCAGTGGTCACCCAGCTGAGTGGGGAGAAGAGCAAATGCAGAAGCCGGGACGCGCCAGCAGCCCCGGGATGGGAACGGTGCCTCCCCACCCCTCAGCGGGCACAAGTGTCCCCAAACACCAGTTTTAGCTGGAGCTCTCTCCCAGCTAGCGGCGACATTCGCTGCCGTCTCACAAGTCCAGCGGGGCCAGATCCTGCCCTTCTCCATGCCCCGATGCCTGGTGCCCGGGAGAGCTGTGCAAGCCACAGGGGACCCCGGGTCCCGACTGCAGCCCTGGTGCAGGCACCGTGCACCCTGCATCTGGCTCTGCCCCGAGCATCTCGCAACCCCCAGGCTCTTCCTTGCCCAGGAAAAAGGAGTTTGCCCAGTGCCGGAGCCACGCACATCCCCCAGCATCCCCTATAGCGTACGTATGTGGCTCTAGGGGCCACAGAGAGCTGCCCGAGCCGACAGCAGGGTGCTCTCTCCCCTCCAGGGCCAGGCAGGATTTGCTATTAACAGATTTACCTGAAGGGGGGGGGG